TGCTGGTTTAACTTCTGAGTTTTGGTACTTTGCATGTGCACACTCTGTCTTCTTGATTAACAAGACGCCATGTAAGACTCTTTCAATGTCTTATCCTTATCAATTGTTGTATAAGTACCTGATGTACAATCATTGAAGATTTTTGGCTCAGCTTTGTTTCCTTGGTTGAGACTATATGCTGCAAACAAATTACAAGCCAAGTCTGGTATGTGTGTGTTTCTGGGGTATTCCATGGGGTATAAAGGAGTTATATGTTTTAATATGCAAACTCAGAAATACATTATATCTCGACATGTAGTATTTAATGAATCTTGTTTTCCTAGTAAGTTAGCTAAGATACATAAAGCAGTTGGGCTACAAAGTCAAGAATCACAAAGTTGTACACCATTTATTATACCAGTTCCTATACATCACAGGGAGACTGCCAAAAGTTAGATTAATGAATCTCAATTAACTCCATCATCATTCTTAAGTCCACAAGCATCTGCCTCAGATAAGTCAAATGTCAATAGTCATCATTCAACAGGTGTCTCAGAAAATTGAGCTGCCTCAGTATCTGAGTCTCAAGATAATAACACAACATCAACAACTGGCTTTACTCTTTCCTCTCCAAAGGAGACCACTCATTTGCTTCATGTCATAGATCCTGCACAATTACATGTAGTTCTACCTTTTACTACTTCTTCTTCATCTATTGCATCATATACTAGTCCTATAAGGTTACATGGGATGCAAACTCGATTACAAACAGGTGCAATCACAGGGAAGAATTATGCTAGTTATCTGGCATTACTACCTGAGTTGTCCTCTTTACAACTAATGGATTTCAGTTCTGATAGTCAATGTCTAAATCAATATCAAGCTGGTTTTTCATTTTTATCTAATATATTTGATCATGAAGAACCAAAGACTTTCAAGGGTGCTACTAGTAAGAAAGAATGGCATAATGCAATGCAGAAAGAATTTGATGCTCTCAAAGCTCAAGGTACTTAGATCTTAGTCCCACCTCTATCAAATAAAACTGTTATTGGAAGTAAGTGGGTCTACAAGATAAAGAATAATCCATATGGGTCTAATTCAAGATTCAAAGCCAGATTGGTTGCACAAGGATTTACTTAAGAACATGGCCTTGACTACTTTGAAACTTTTAGTCTTATTGTTAGGCATACTACAATCAGAATTATACTTGCACTTGCTGCTCAGTTTGGTTGGTCTTTGAGACAATTGGATGTTAACAATGCATTCTTACATGGTGATTTAGAAGAGAAAGTATATATGAAGCAACCCTAAAGGTTTGTGGATGCTCAGAATCCAAGTCATGTTTGCAGATTAGTGAAATCTCTCTATGGTTTAAAACAGGCTCCTAGAGCTTGGAATTCCAAGTTTACTAGCTATCTTCCAGCACTCGGTTTTAAAACATCACATTCAAATACAAGTTTGTTTGTCAAGTCTGATAACGGAGACATTGTTTTGTTGCTGCTATATGTGGATGATTCATCATTACTGGTTCAAATCCAACTAAGGTGCAAGAAATAATCAACAACTTGGCAGAGGTGTTTGATCTCAAAGATATGGGCAGACTTAGTTATTTCTTGGGATTACATATCCAATATAATGATGATGGTTCTTTGTTCATAAACCAATTCAAGTATGCTAAAGAATTGTTGAAGAAAGCAGGCATGGAGTCTTGTAAGTCAACATCTACTCTGTCCAAGCCACACACTCGTATTCTTGCTAGTGAAAGGACTTTGTTATCTAATCCAAGTCAACATCGTAGTATTGTCGATGCCCTTCAGTATTTAACCTTCACAAGAACAGATCTTGCCTATTTAGTGAATATGGTTTGTCAATTTATGACACAACCAACTAATGCACACTTACATTTGGTGAAATGAATACTCAAAAATGTTCAAGGGATTGTCAACTATGGTCTACACTACAAAGGGTTCCAATGTTTAGATCCCTGCATATTCAGACTCAGATTAGGCCGCTGACATTAACACTAGAAGATCCATTTCTGGTTTTGTGGTCTATCTTAGATCCAATCCGATTTCATGACAATCGAATAAGCAATCTACAGTCTCCAAAAGCTCAACTGAAGCTGAGTACAAAGTCGTGGCACAGTGTGCAGCTGATGTCTTTTGGATTTGTTATGTGTTCAAAGATATTCATCAGTTTCTATCTAGACCTCCTTCTCTTCATTGTGATAACTTGTATGCACTTGCATTAAGTTCTAATCTTGTGTTTCATTCCAATATCAAACATCTTGACACAGATTACCATTTTGTTCGAGAAAAAGTACAAAAGGTGATATCAGTGTCCATTATATTCCAACAGATGATCAGGTTGCTGATGTTTTCACCAAGAGGTTACACAGTCCAATTTTCTTCAAGCATTCCAGACATCTTAGTTTGGGTTTATCACCAGTTGTGCAGCAAACTAAGCTAGACAGCTCCACACTTAGTTTGAGGGGGGAGTAATAGTCATAATAGTTGGTTATGTAGTTTTGAGTTTGTTAGAAAGGATTGGAATATGAGAATGGTAGTATTGTAATTCTGTAATAGTTAGTTTCTCTACAAAAGCAAATCTTGTAAGGCAATGCCATTATCTTTTCTTCTCTCTAAATAAAGTCAATAAAATAATATTCTCTCTCTAGCTTCTCTCTCTGAAATTATTCAAGCAATTCTTTCATTCTTCCTAGTTAATAGCATTGTCCACAATAAAACTAGTCGTTGCTAATATTTTCTTTTTGGTTCCTTATTCTCGTTCCAATACTTGACGATGGAGAAGAAAAACCAAATTGATTATCTTCGTGCATAAGGATAACCTTTCCAAACAAAAGATATGAAGAATATGAAAATAAAACACAAATTTGACCCAACAGGGGATATAGGAAGTACCTGCAAGTCGAAGGGAATATAACGTTGCTCAACTTCAACAAGGGATAATTCTGAGAAGGTCACATATGTTTTCAAATTAATCTCCTCCTGATTCTAAAACATTCTTCCAACAAATCAAACAGCTCTCAACATTCTCAACTTAGAGATTGTTCATTGACCTATTTGATCGAGAGTTTGGTCTCGATCTCTAGCTTTTGCAATGGGTATGAGAAAGTCTTGCTCATGGAATTAGGGACAATGTGGGTTGAAATGCCTCGTGTGAAAACTGCTATGGCGCAGTGCACGGCAGACCAAATGTACAAGGGCAAATGTGCCCATCACGGCTACAAACTTTCTTTCCTTCCTCTCCATTATTCCGGTAGGATTCTCCCCTCGTATTACCATCATTTTCTATCCCCTCATCTCACTCTATTTTTGTCTTTTCTCTATAAAAAAAAAATTCAAAACAAAATATAAACATAACATGATCATAATTGTTTAAAGAGGTATTCATCAATTTCCCCCCTGAAATTGTGACTATTGGCCAATTTCCCCCCTCAACTTTAATTTTGGTCAATTTCCCCCCTCAACTCTCATAATTAGTCAATTTCCCCCCTCAACTTTAATTTAGCCAATTTCCCCCCTCAACTCTCATAATTTGTCAATTTGCACCCTATTGTTAATATTTTAATTTGATCATAATTAAACAAGTGTGTGTAAGAAACTAAATAAGATGTATGTTAATCATTTTCCTATGTCTTTTATTACAAATAGATTAAAATTTAGAATTTTACAATTTATCATAGATAGTATTATTAGTCATAATAAATTAGTATGGAGTAATTTTATTTGATTTTTTACTATACAAAATTGATAACGAAAATGATTGATGTGTACATTTTTTGTATGTGAATACAATTTTCTTTATAAAAGTGAAAGCTAAGTTCAAGTAAATTGCGGAGAATCGAGCTTTAGTGCAAAAATGGCTAGTCAATTCATAATTTTCGACTCCTTATTAAGAATAACCCATTTTATTGAAATATGTCTGATCCATGAGTTTAGGATTATTATTTCTTCTTCTACATGCTTTAAACCCGATTCATAACTTTTTCTTATAATCAACCCATATCACATACTAATTGTATTATGTTTTTGTACATTTTACCCTATATTATGCATGTGAGTTTATGTTAATTTTAGTACTTTGTTGGAAGTTATTAGAAAGATTGAAAGAAAAAAAAGAAGAATAGATGGAAAATTAAAAAAATTTAACAGAAGGGGGCAAATTGACTAATTATGAGAGTTGAGGGGGGAAATTGGCCAAATTAAAGTTGAGGGGGGAAATTGACTAATTATAAGAGTTGAGGGGGGAAATTGGCCAAAATTAAAGTTGAAAGGGGAAATTGGCCAATGTTCACAAGTTTAGGGGGGAATTGATGAATACCTTTTGTTTAAATAAGAGATGAAGGAAGATGAGAGATATTAGGAAAATAAAAAAATCCTACTCTTCCGCCAAAAAAAATTTGCAACTGCATGCATATATGTATAATATAGCTCCGAATTCACTTTGTGGGAGTCCTATTTTAAATCGTACGGCCAACTTTCGTCAAGTATTATTTGTGTTTAATTTTAAATTAAAAATAATCAAATAATTTATAATCATAAGATACATAATAAAATGTTAAGATGTGAGAATTTCTAATATCTTTTCAATTTGGATTCGAATGGGATCCAAATCCATATAGCTCCTAGTCACCGGAGTAGAGTGTGTGGTCAGGTTGGTCAGTAAAAGTCTTCATGTCAGTTCTTTTGCAGGTTTTTTATTTTATATTTTATAGTAAATTAGTAATTCTTGCAATAAGCTAAGGTCAAGCTTACCCAAATTTGCATTACTCCGGTTTGGGGCGCCATGTCTGACACTCCCTTTGCGTCCCATTACTAAGGAATGATAGCTCAACTTTATCTGATGGAAAATATGCATGCCATCGAAGGGAAGAAGGCTCAAATTTCAACCTACCCACCTCTCCTTTTTAATTGAATTTCTTAAGTTAATCCTTAAAATATGCTTGAAATTGAAAGGATATTAGATTAATAAAATTTAAGAAACTATTTAACTACATCAGCAGCAGTTGGCACCTATGGCACATAAAACATGAAAACTCAGAAAACCATAATTAAGCAAATCCGAGATTAACATTTCACATGCATGCTAATCAAAACTAGATTAAAAGAAAAAACCTACTAAACAAGACTAGTCATGATCTTAAACCCCTATGTTTCCACTTCACCCTAAGATATTGCAACTAAACCAAGTGCTGATTTTCGACCAAAGTAAAAATCAGAAGTGCTGATTAGACTACTCCAGCTAGGGAGAGAATGAAAACACAGGTCACCCCAGCCTCACGCACTGCCATCAGATCTCTCTCTTAACCTCTCTATAATCCACGAAGGGCAACCCTACACGTGTCCCAACCGGAGTGACTTTGGGCTGCCGCAGAACACCGTCACTCGGAGGTTCCACCACCGCAGGCAAATACTCCTCCGTGTGGCACCAAAACACTTTACTCTCAAAGTTCTTCTTCAGAGCTTCCAGCCCCTACAACATGTCAAAACCAAAAAGTAACCGGTCAAGTTCAAAATATCAATGAAAAAAATTCGAAACCAAATACCCGTCCAGTATAAGAGTAGAACCTTAACCTGAATCTTAGCGGAAGTAATTTCACATGTTTTCTTGTTGCTGCGTACCTTCCATTGTTCATTGTGGAACTTCTTGTAAAATCTGTACGCGCCGGTAAAACTGGTGAAATTAACAAAGGCATAGCCCAGATTGGCAGTCCTCTTGTGGTTCCAAAATTGCCTACACGGATCCAAAGAGAACATTAAATTGGACTCGATAAAATAACCTACATTAGCAATTTTTAGAATCTAATCTAAACAGTTTCTGAAAATTTTAAACTTACTTAAAATCCATTGGAAGATAAACAAAATCGAACTCAGATTTCGTGGAAACACCTTCTCTGCAAGCCCGTAGGTTCTCATCACGGCAGTGATTTCTCAGGACGGTCAGCAAATCACACCTCCTGCACATTTGACTATTAATTTTTCTGTATGAACAGATTTTATAAAAATTAAAAAATTAAAAAAAAAAAGTAGATAAACTCGTATCTATGTTTCATGTTCCCTCAGAAAAATTAAAAAAATAAAATAAAATAAAAAAACTTATTTCTCGTTTCTTACACAAACGGGGAATAGAGACAAAAGGGTTCAAAGAAGGGAAGACAAAACAGTTAATTCCTTTTTACAAGCTCTGTTAAAGTAAAAAATAAAAATAAAAAACAAAAAAACCTGAACCTTTATGTTAAATCCAAACCCTACAGTTATTGCATGTACGTAAAATAACCAAAGAACAGTAATATGCCAACAAAAAACCATGAACTGAGAGAGAGTATACTGAAATTGGTTTGGGATATTTTTTATCATGATCGTTGTAGGACCGGATCTATTTTCCAGATCAGGACTTGAAGGAAACGGAATAACACCACCACAGCCGCGCACAGAACCTTTCTTCATCTGCCGATAAGACGCCGCATACGTCGTCCCAGTCGGCAGATCTTTCTTGGTCACGCATGCGACAACCCTAGGAGCACCCACCACATGGGTCTCATCTCCAAGCTTCTTCAAAGGGTTTCTGGGCCTCTGTGAAGCTAAGCTCCTCTTTCCCTTAACACTCTTTCTCCGCCTCTTGTTTGTAGTTGGGTCAGGTTGTACCGGGTTCATTTGGCAAAAAAAGTACCTGGGTTGGTGAACGATTGAATAAGCGCACACAGGCCGAGCAGGAAAATAGGGTGTGTGAAAACGGTACAAGAAAAATGGCTCAGCCATAGGGTTTAGAGGTTTGGAACCCATTGACAAAAGGACTGAGAAATGTGGACTTGAGTGAGCCGAAAAACCGAGGAAAAACCGAGGAAGAAGGGGAGTTTATAAAATAAATGTGGAGATGAATCAAACAAACGGTCGAGGTATGGATACGGATCCCTGAAATGATGAAAATTGAAATTCGCGTTATACTCATCATGGCTTAAATCCGGTTATGCATTGGCGGCGTAACATGGAGAGAAATATCAGAGAGCCAGAGGGAAGAGAGAGAGTTTCATGATTTAGTGCTCGCAGAGGGTTGCTTTATCTCTGCAATAATCTCAAAGCACCTAGAAGGTAAAACGTTTGGAATCCTTGGGTGGCGTGCAGCTAACTATGGTGCCTATCTTGGCTAAAAGCGCTTGGGTCTTTATAAGGGACTTGGATTGTCTGCCTTCTAATTTTGGTGTCCTTTTCGTGCCTTTCTGTTTTTGTGATCATGGTTAAGTTACGTCAACATTTTATATTACTATTTCTTTTTTTTTATTATTTTTATAAAAAAAATAATATAAAATATTGACGTGGCTTAACCGTGACCACACAAAACAGGAGGGCACAGTGAGGGCACCGAAATGGGAGGGCAGACAATCCAAGTCCTTTTATAAGGGGGTCGAATATGAATATAAACCGAATCACACCCTCGTTTATTTTTTGGTAAATGCAAGGACTCATATTTTGGAACTAAACTTTTATATTTGAGTTCTAAAAAGGGAATTGTTATTAATACTTCAAAAATTTTATTTTACACTTTAAAATTTCTATATTATGAAAGAAAAATACACTTGTGAGGAGTGTATAATGAGATTTTTAGAGTGCTAATAACATTTCTCTCTAAAAAAAATAGTGAATTTATGTATCAACTTTCTTCTCCAATGTCTAAGAGTCATTTTGAATTTTAAAATTTAAGACATTGCATTAGAGGAGAAAATAATTTACTTAGAACTAAATCGAAACTCAAATTATATTTTTCTTCGTTGAATAAAACTCTTCATTATTGGCATGAGCTCCATGATCTCATAAAGAAAGCTGTATTTCGGGTCTCAATTTGCCTCAAAAACCAAATATAAGTGTGAATTAGAGATGATGTGTCTTATATTTAAACTCTTGTAAAATTTAAGTCCTTGTGTTAGGAGATGGTCTAAGTTCACTAAAACTCAGCGTTACTTATAAATTAGAACTCAGTTCTAAAAACCCATTTCCTACAAAATCAGTCCATTAAAATTCAGTTTTAACTATGAATTAAAACTCTTTCCTACATGCTTCTTATAATTTATAGGTCACATCATTTCAAATTTATGGAAAAGATAGAATTGTTAATTTTTTTTAACAAATAATATTATTTACATTAAAAATGTAGGAGAGTGAAAACTACATCTGTGGATGCAAATTTCTTCCTCCTCGATCTTGGACGATTTTGCACCTACAAAACAATTAACACCTTAGGTTAAGGCCAAGAGCCTCACGCGTCCACGATGAATGGGGGGGCTTTGGCCGAAGAACCTCCGATGCCAAAGTTAGAATTTAGAGAGAAAGAGTGTTTAGAGAATTTTGGGATTTTTGCCAAAGTGTTGGAATTAACTTTTTGGTGAGAATGAGAGTATATTTATAGGGATAGGAGGTGGCTAGGGTTTTTAGGTTTAATTAGCCAATTTATTTGGCTATTAAACATAAAATGAATGTTTTGGTGGTTTTTTGTATAATTGGCTAATAAAAAGGAATAAATGGTGGGAAAAGGTAGAAAAAAGGTAATGGATTAGGTTTTTCAATGGGATAGCCGGCCCTCTTGTGTTTTTAGGTTTGAGTGGATGTTTCAAATTGACAATTAAGGGATTGATTAGGTAATTAATTCCTTAATTAGTCAATTATTATGATTTTATGAAATATGAAAGGAATAAGTATATTATTTAGCTAATTGATTAGCTAAATAATGAAATGGGAAATATATGAATAAATTAGGCTTTAAGTTGATACCTATTTTGGGCACTTTTGACTTGGTTGAAAAAATGATTCTCTACTGCTCGCGTGTAGGAAACCCGGTATGCCTCGAGGGTATTTTTGTCCTCTTTTGTCCAAAAGTCCACGTGTCACCTAGTGAATATTTTTGGCTCCACAAATGCCCCCACACCTGTTGGGCTGCTCGCAAAAAAAGACAGCAGGTGTAGAGATCTTCTTGCTTTAGGAAACTTAAGACTGCTTCCTATTTTGATGTTGATTCTCTCTTTAATAGGAAATTAGATCCTTCTAGGAAAGGGAAATAAATTTCTCTCAAAGCCTATTTAAGTCCACCTTAAGTGGGTTATTAAATCAACTTTGGAGAGCGATTTATTCTACCCTACAAGAGAGAGATAGCTTAGAGGATATTTGTTCCCCCTCATCTAGCAATCTTCTACATCTTGCCCGTGCAAAGGACCGTCTTTTGTTGCTTTCTTCGTCTTCTTCGTGCCGCACCGATGTAAGAAAAATTTAATTTTTCTTGCCTTATTCTTGGATAGTGCTATTGCGGGGCAGCCGTTGGGGTGGTGCGGCACATCGGCTGGCAGGGGCCAGAAGTTGGCTCGGCATGGGCCGAGGAGATGTTGTGGCAGGGACCACTGCTTGGGCAGCTTGGCTTGGCTTGAGCCAAAAGGCAGCTTGTGCAACTAGGGTCGCGGATTGTGGCGCTGGGGCGCAGTGCTAGGCGAGCCGCATGGCTCATGTCCTTTGGGCTCTTGGACCTGACTCGGGCCAGGCTGGTGATTGAGAGAAATAAGAAGATTGCGGGTCTCATGGGCTGCTGGAATGTTGGGCATGCAGGCCTCCTGCCTGTTGGAATGCTGGGTTGAGCTCCTCTGCTGAGTACCATGAATGTCGTTGGCTGCTTAGTCCTCTTTGCCGAAAGAAAGGTGGGCTGCTCCAGAAAGAGGAGGTAAAGAGGATCAAGGCGGATGCATTGGCTCGTCTGATCGCTGTCGTGAGCTTACTATGAATGAAGATGGAAAGAAGAGATCTTCCCCGCCTGCTCATGAGATGCCAGTTAAGAAAAAACTGAAGACTTCTTCTGCTGCTCATGAGGGTCCGCTTGCTACCGAGAGGTATGTGATTGACATGATTTTCCAATGGGAAGAAATGTAAGGCTGCTAGATCTGAGCATGTGGCGTCTTCCATGTTGAGAATGGCTAGTACAATTGTGGATAAGATTACTCAGCGTAAAGGTTTTATCATGCCCCCAGTGCCGAAGTCTGTACCAGGACGTTCTTTGGGAGCCAAGTCCAGTTTACCTTTGTAGAGACTTGCTATTATGAAGAGTGGTAAGGTGGACTCTGCTGCTAAAGTGGCGCCAAAGCCTGCTCCCTTTGCTGCTGAGATTGATTCGCCTCAGATTCAAGATCTTAAGCTTGTAATTTCTGAGCTTCGTTTCGCTACTTATGCTAAGAAGAGAGTGGATGAGCTTCTCTATTTCTCCGGAAGACTTGCTTGCTTTGACTTTTAAGGCTTCCATTGGTGAAGTTGTTGGAGAAGTTAGTGCCCAGACTGGGGCAGCCGGGGGTGAAGCGCCGGATGATGCCGCTGCTAAGAGCGTTACGGCTGTTGAAGGTGTGGCGACCGAGTAGTCGTGGAATGTCCAAGCTGCTGTAGTGTAGTATTTTAGGTAGCCTCTAGGATTTTCTTTGTTTTTCCTTGTAGCTTTTGTTTTGCTTGAACTCCTTCAACCTTTGCTAGTTGTTTATAAACATGTTTTCCTTCGTTTTTCTTCATCTTCACTTCTTTTGTTCATGCCCTAACCTTTAGACTTGATAGACCAGTGGCAGGGATGCTACTTTTTTATAAGCAGACAAACTCGCGTAGCCTATGCAGCCGTAGGTGTTGGTGTATAACTTTTGCAAAGTTGTTAGCCATAGGGTTGGCAGCCGGATGCCTTACTTACAGAAGCAGACAAGTCCGCGTAACCACTAGGCTGTTAACTTTGACTTTCTTCAATTCTGTAGGTTGCGTAGCAAGTATCACAACACTTTAGGACTTGGTGTAGGTTGTTCCGCGCTTGGCAGAGGTGAAGCTTATCGACTACGTAGCATGTCGGCAGTGGATAAAACTTCGTATATGCACGCTAGTTTGTCTAACCTTTCACAAGAATGTGCGGTTGTATAAGTCTAGTGCGGCTTCACTGCTCGAAGGGCAAGCCGTAGGCAGTCTTCCGGAATCCGTAGGCTACCTTAGTGCACTCGGTAGCAGCTTTAGGATTCCAGGGCAGCCGTCCATCGGATGTACTGCGTAATGTGCCATTTCCGTCTCTAGGGCCCGGTTCCCCACGGATTAGGCCAAGAGACCCAAAATCCTTCAGTTAGCTAAACCTTGAAAAAGACCATTGCGGCTACTTCTAGGAATCCCGGCGCAAGCCATCGTGCATCTAGTTATACTAGGGCAGCCAAGCTCATCCACGTCTGGATATTCGGAGTGTAAAGTTTATCTTCCCGTCTTGGAGAGCTGACCCATATGGGTGTCGGAGAATTGGTTTACCCTCTCGCACTGGAGAGCATGGTTGGTCCCTTAGGGGCGCAATTCCTGCGATGAGTCCCTAAGAAGGGTGCAGTCTTCTTTTGAAGTGCAAGAGTGATTAGTTGTTGTAAGCATGCAGCCAAGCCAAGTTGTGATTACTTCTAAATTCCTCATTGAAAAACGAGTGAAACGAACGAGAACTTTAGCTGTAAGGTAGGAACTGCATAACAACTAGATAGTCCTCAGCTTGTGAGGTGGTGCCCGTCGAGCTTATTGAGTCTTCGGGTTTTGATGTAGCGGGAGGTCACACATGGTACTTCTTCAGATTGTAGGCCATCCATTTTTTTTTTCAGTCTTTTTGCCGCTTCATGGTGGTGAGGGTGTAATTACTCTTGCCCCCTACTCTGCTGATCTTGTACGGACCTTCCCAGATGGGATCCATCTTTTTGGAGCCTTCTCTGCCGGCAGTGATGAAGGCTTTTCTGCGCCGTCGACATGCAAATGCCAGAAGTCTCCATCGGGTGGAGTAGGCGCAGCTAGAGTGTGCTCGGCTACTTCTGAGGCATCGTTGGGCCGCTCTGTTGCGTCACCTAGGCGCGGCGTGAAGGCGCAGTAGGGAGCTGTGGAGATGGGGCCATGTCATACGTAACAGGAGATGCTCAACTGCCGGTATTGGGCCACTCTAGAGTTGAATCATTGAGCAAGGGTCGGCTAGGGCCGTGTGATGCGCAGCAAGAAATGGTACTCAACTGCCGTTACATGTTGCTCCTATGTAGAATCTTTCAGGGTGACGAGGACAAAACTTGCTTTCAAGTGTGTCTTTCCAGTGTTACGTTCGTCAGAAAACTTTACATCCGCCAGGG